GCTGAGCCGACAAACAGCTGATTAGCTGTTTGTCGGCTCAGCGCGGCAGCCATGTAAATTTAAATGAAGCGGCGATTATTTAAATCGCCGCTTCATTTTACTATGTCCGGTACCCTAATCTACATGCCTCTGGCGACAGAGGCATGTAGTCTAGACGTACCCTCAAATAAACTCAGCATCAAAGTTGTTGTTTAACTTAAACATTAGTAATTCCATCACTAGGCACATGGTACGAGTTCCTTTTAATTGTCTGTTTATAGACTTTATGATTTCTAAGAATCAAATGCTCAGATCAGGTTGAATAGGCATATATTCTTTACCTGCCATTCAGGACGCCTATTGATCAAAGACAGACTACCAAAGCAAACAGACTGTCAAAATTATATAATGTAGAATGTTTGTAATCAAGATGTAACATGTTCTTGCTCTCTCTCTCTCTCTCTCTCTTTTTCTGTGCTGATCAGAGATTTCCAGCCCAAATACGAGTCCACACACAAATTAGAGTACCGAATAAAGCCAAATAGCATTGTTGTTAGAAAGACAGTTTTTTCAAGGAGGAGGAAGTTCAGATGTGCTAACAGAACTGTTTCAAATTAATAAAAAAGATATATCCCAATTAAATAGGTCCCTTATAATGTTTAGAGATGTCCTTTCACTCTCTCTCCCCACATCACCTTTATTTTATCTTCGAAGAACAATCTCTACTTACAAGGTTAAAAATTACACAGTAAAGTTAGCAAATGTATTACAACTTTAGTAACGCATGGCAGGACTCATCTAATAAGTGTATTGAAGCACATAACGGTGACACACACATGCATTTCTAGTAGAAAGCAGTTATTGCAGCCAACATGTTCATGTAATGACTGAGGAACAGCTATTATTTACTATGCTGTTTGTTTTTATTTAATAAAAATAATCTTTGCATCTTAATCTGCAGGAAGTGAACATGTAACACAGAGGAGGTATGAGGCAATGAAAGGAGTTTCACACAATACGCCCTTTGGTGCTTGTAAACAGATTTATAACTCAGGTGTCCCATGCTAAGAAAAAAACCAGGGAAAGTGACATAAGTTTTCACTTACTGGACAAACTACAAACACATTGCTACAAACAATAAGCCCTTTTCCGGAAGATCCCTTATTCCTACTTTCAAGGGCTTATTTTCCGCAAGATCCCGTCTAGACTGGCGCTTTTCTCCGGCAAAACCCCGAGCCAGAAAAAAGCGGCAGCCATGTTCATGCAAATGCCGCGGGGGATATTTAAATCCCCCGCGGCATTTGCAATTCTGAAGTGTCTCATTAGCATCCCTTTTCCGGAAAGGGGTGCCAATGTAGACACAGCCATTGTATGTGAAACAATTCTAATATTACCATCTTAGATTTTCAAACCATTCAAATACTGCACCAGCATTCATGATGAGACCACACACAGGAATTAGAAATTATGAGAATTAAAAGGCAATTTTCTATCAAATCATTTTAAATACTTAAAGTTTGCAAACAAAAGCACCAAAAGGTTACAACGATTATTATGCCTTTCTGAATATAGCCATTAAGTATACTGCAGACCATTGCCCTAGTATTGGTAGAAAAAGGTCACAATAACCAATTTAGATTCAGATGTACATTTCTTGTTCAGGGTATACATATTTATAATGGATATGAAATGACTCACCAGAAGGCCTGTCAACTGATTGTTCTTCAAGGTCTACTTAAAAGAGAGGAAAAACATGGATCATCAGTAGTTTCAAAAGTAGTTGTGTACACCAGAGAAACAACTTATGCATTTGTTTACTTTAAAACAGCCCCTTATTTCAGCTAGTTCTTTCTGTAGTTTGGTGTACTCTATTTCTTTTCTCAGTTTGCAGCACAAGTTTTCACTTTTAATGCTTAGCAATATGAGTTATTTGCAGATATCCTAATGATCCACCCTCCAGTGCTCTAGTAGGCTATGAGTATGATGGGGGGGAGGGGAATTATACCCTGGACTTGAAATGGCAAGGAAGTGTGGATTGTGATCTTACAAACTACATGTTCAAATTTTCAATAAAATCTGAAATACAGTATAGCCTCTCTGATCAGATGTATTACAGGGAATCACACAGATCATGAGTTGGGGCCACTGTTCCCTGTAAGCTGAGTACTTGGGTGGCCACACAGAAGAGATTAAAATGCTATCCAGCTGATTAGCAGAGCACCATGGTGCCCATATCTGGCAGCTTGTGTTTTACTGGTGGTTCATGTAAATTTATTTTGCACATGAATGGAAAAAATTAGAGGCAACATTGGTTGGGGACATGTCCTATATTCAACAAGGTTGAGAATTTACTTTGTTAGACATTCTTTTATTTTTATTTCACCACTCACAGTGTTATGGCAGCACTAATAACAACATTTAATGTTGAGTAACAGGTGGGTGAAATGCCTATCCCTTTCGTTGACAGGGTTGTTGTGATGCATACATGTTAATAGAGTTTCTTTGAATGTAAATTAACTCTTGGCAAAAGTAAACATGTCTTCAGTGTCCAGCACAGGAATTACATGGCCTTTATATGACACAACGTTTTTGGGACATCAGTGCCTGAGATAATCTCTAATAGAGTAATATTTGAATCTCCAACACAAACAACAAATGTGTATCAAATTACATTAGATGATCTCCAACCAGATTGACACGATAACATTGCAAACATTTTTGTTTGGCAGCTAGACACCTCAATTCAATAAGACTTAACTGAAACCACACAATCTGCTAAAAACAGCATCACATTCAAACCTCTCAGGAACAAAGATCACATATAGGAAGCCAAAAAACATTTATTTTTTAACATTAAGCGTATTGCTGCAATTTTGCAACAATATACATAGACTTGCTGCATTATCTTCAAATTATATTACAGGTTGCACCTCTATAAATTGAAACTCTCTGGTCTGGCAATGGATCATGGATGTTCCAGGACGAGAGAGTCTCCCTGATGGGGGGAGGCCGGGAGCCCAGTACAATGCAGTGGGAGGGGACGATGTGTAGCCCAGCTGGGCTGCAGGGGAGAGGGAAGGAGGTGGGAGATGGGAAGCTGGGCACACAGCTTAGTTGGCTGCAGGTGCCCAGGAGCCAGTGTGTAGCTCAACTGGGCTTCAGGGAAAGGGAGGCTGAGAGCCG